ATAAAACATTTGAAATGAAAGTAAAAAAGACAAACCGTTGACGGACTTGAAATAAAAGAAAAGTTCAGTGGCAACATATCACTGATATGCACACGATTGACAAGCTACCGTACTCCACTTTCGTGCGCAGTACCGTAACTTGTCATTTGTCATATTATGGTAATATATTAATGTATCTTATTACGACTTATCACCAGTACATTATGGTTATATACTGTTGTGTGTAACGCGGTTATATCACTGATATATTGTGTTGATGTGTTCATTGTTCACGTATCACTGCTATGTTATTATGACGTATTGATGTGTAGCAATAGCAATATTTCGAGGTGTGGAACGGTAACATGTAATTAATACGTACGGGTGGTAATGCATGTAACGCAGCAACGAATAAACGAATAAAGAATTCATAATGTAAATAGTAGCAAGGAATGAAATGAATAATAACTTGATAAGCACAGAAAATGATAATAAAGGAAATATAAAGAAGCAAAACGATATCCGCCCACTGATATGTGCAATGCGAACATATCAGCCGCATTTTAAGGAAAAGCATTGATGTGCATAATGGCAACACATCACTGATGGACTGTATTGTGTATATCAATAATATATATCACGTCTACGCAATGATCAGAAGCATGCGCAGTACGTAGAAGCAACAATAGCGAGGGTTTGGTTACATGCCATGATATGCTTTGAAAGCTTTCAATTAAAAATAACCAAGTAAATATCGAAACTCAGTTTCTTACCTCATATTTGCCAAATTCAAATTCGATATTTCTTGACGTCCGTTTAAGGACTGGTGCTATCTGTTGCGGCACAGGGATATTTGGATATGATGGCCGACTCACTTCTGTCTTCAGATGCTTCGTTTGCACGCATACAACTTCGTGGCGAGGCTGGGCCAGCGAATTGAATACGACCACTTCACTGCAATGCTATACAGTGGATTTTGCTCTTAACGCAGATGAAGTTTTTTTTAAATTCAGTGCATAAATGAACGCAAAAATAAACAGACTTCGATATAAAATCTCTCAAATATTTATCAAAAACGAATACCAACAAAGAAACCTACTCGGTAGTATTTGCCAACACTTTCAGAGGAATTTGATCGTGTTCTACGTACTCGTCACTCTATGAAATTCATTGACATTACCATCAGATTGTTTCATTTATTTGTTGAGAAGTTTAAAAAATTATCTCACTACAAGCAAATGATGCATAATTTCGGTTCGATTCGACAAAATCAAGATATTCATTCTAAAAATACCATCGACAACAAACCATTCTGAATGATTGCCCATTGTCTCTGCTGTTATCGCTCAGCAGTATCAATTTTGAGGCAGTTGATATTATTCGATCACAATTCTGAAGTGCTTTTAGCATCCTGCAAAAAAAAGCCATCGNACGTCTCTATCCCAATAAAATCACCAATTATTTCATTTTCGCTACAGTTATCGCTACGCATAACTTGTCAAGCCTTTCAATGAACAAGCAAGTCCTCCAAAAACATCTCAGCAGAAAAATACCCCATTCAATAAGTATTACTCCAATGAATTTCAAATCTAAAATCGAGTTTTACTACTCACTTCTGACCATAATCAACGACCACATCGTCTTTCGCAGTGCCTGTTACACCATCATGATGTTGGAATAGACTCATATGTCGACGTGCTTCCACCAAAAGACCGTACATTTCTTGAATGATCGACTCTGCACGCGAATCCTTACTGATCGCCAAACTCACAATGATTTCAGCACTTCGCAAGTAGTGTTGCAGTACTCGATCCATACGTTTATAGAACGGTCTGCTCGTGTAATAGCCACTCCAGTAGTGATCATTTCTGTCCGCATACGTGAAGAAATCACCCGACAAGACCGGTACTTCACCATCCGCTTCACCCTTGAATTCCTCCACCCTGGCGTGATCCAACTCAAAGTAGTCGCCCAGTGTACCGAATCGCACATGCACGTTCCACTCTTTCTTCGCATTGATATAATCAAATAGACGAATGTAATTGTCGTGTTGCAGACGCCATTCCTCAGCGCTTCCGTAACGGAAATCATCACCCAACGGAACGAACAAAACGTTTCTGCGAAAGAGTTGCGCTTTTTTACGATACTGATCATATAAGATAGCGGCCCGCCTGGCCAGATTCCTCTCGGTGATCTCTTCGGGTGGTACGCCCCATGGACATGCGGCTTGTCCGGAAAGACGCCAGAAATCGAACTGACAACAAACTTTCGGGTCCGGTCCACAGGTGTGCGGTACGTCGTACGAGTAGAAAGGCATCACGTGCGTGAACAGATCGTTGCTTGCATCAGCGCCACTCCACAACTGTCGCCATTTGAATTCCAGTTGTTTCTGCTCAGCCAAATGCTTCTTCACTGAATAATGTACTCGTTGCACTAGAGCGTTTGAGAGATTCGCTTTTGACACGACGAATGCCAGCGTTGAGCTGAGACCGAACGGATCAATTGACCAATGATTTTTGGGCTTATAATCCGGGATGTGATTCGCGATCCATTCATGCCCTTCAATCCACTCACTCACGGTGGCAAAGTAGTGTGCATTCGCCTCATCGGTCATCACCCACGCACCCGAGACTATCTCAAGACGACCCTGGTGCAGTAATCGCTGCACTGCTGCCCGCTGTTCGTCGTTGATCTCAGCCCACCACTTCTCGAAGAAACTCATTTCGGCGTATATGAAACGCATTCGTTCCATCGATTGCAAACTCAGCAGCATATTCTCAAAGATATATTTCGTTTGTGAGTTATAGTAGCCTTCGAATGTTGTTATCCAACCTATAATCAATTGATACCGCTCAATTTTATTTACTGATTCAATTATTCATCACACAAAAAGAGAAAACGATCACACTGCACAACAACAATGTAGATAATAATATGTACCCGGGTCTGTGTGCGAATGTGGTGTTACGATAATCTCAAGTCGCTTCTCTTGTTTCACCTTCTCCTCATCATATTTTATATCGAATCCTTGCTTCCATACACCTCCATCCGGATCATCAAACGGTATCGTGTTGTACAAGTCCAGCATCTGCATTTCATATACCTTTCAGCATCTCACTCACTTTCTCATTTGTGTCTCATCTATCTTCAATGAATGAATACCACCGTTCCATATTCCTTTCATATATACAATGAATGAGTCATGGATGCAGATCAGACGAATGCTTGCATGAATCAACACTGTGACCACTGATCATAAGGAGTCTAACACCTTTCGTGTATACATCACCAAAATAAAAATTTCATCATATGCACTGACTTGTATGTCACTTCTAGCTGCAGACATATTCGAAATCGCTCGGCACATGTCCTGTCCCACCTCAGCATAAGGCATCACAAGATCAGCGAAGAATTTCTTAACTATTGCTCCCTGAAGACTCAATTTGTAATGAATGAACAAGTAACAAGTGACAAGTAACAAAGTAACACAATCAAATGGTGCAATGAGTTATCAACCAATCAATCCAATGACCAACTTTATTCGTCGGTGTTTGTCCATTACGATTCAGCAACACTCCTCTCGAATTACTGACACGATCGCTCTTCACTGGTACTTCGTTATCGATATGATTGTTGTCGTTGTTGTTGTTCAATGGCTCAGCAATCACTCCTCTTTTGGCTTGCTCTTCTTCTTCAGCATGCTCTCTCGCCGCTGCCACGTTCTCTTGCTCTTTCCTGATCTGAATTGAAGAAAATAGATAGAAAAGAGATGAAAACAGAACGAAATGTTCATTGTTCACAAGCGATTACAATACTAATAACAGTGATAGTAACAAAATGATCATACTGATGATACAGATCAACTGTAATGACAACATCGACCAATCACAACATCAAATTTCAATCGCTCACCTGCTCAGCTTTTTTCGGTAATTGTAAAACACCTGGAGCACCACCACCCGCACTATCCACATTGTTCTCACCTAAAATCAAATCAATCACCTGCGATCTGACCGCTATCTCGTCTTGACCTCTCACATTTCCAATCACCTATTCAAACTCAAACCGAATAATTTTCGTCCAACTTTTCACTCAAAATTTCATCTATTCAAAACTCTTCGCTGAATTCCTAAAAATCCGAAGGCAATCCCAAAAAATGGGTAAAAACCCACCACCATCAGCACTCGCCTCGCTGATTTTTTTCTTCATATTCTCAAATTCTTTAATTTTCAATCGTTCCGCCCTCAACTTCTGTCGCATCTCCATCATTGCTGCATCGTTGTTTTTGATCTCCTTCTCCAATGTCTTCAGTTTCAGTTCAAGTTTTTGCAGTTCCACCTGAATCGTAATTGTTACACTCAACATCTGATATTACAATTACATTCACAACAAAGCAATTGAATAAATAATAAAATACAAACAAAACCACAACCACTTAAACGACATCTCGAACAACTTGCCTCATCTTGTTGGTGATGTTGATTTCTGATATCAATTGAACGATACAATTGAATACTAACAAAAACGAACACACAAAGCCCACCACCGAATAACCATTTCCTCGTATTTACACGCATTTCAGTGATTGCCTTCTTCTTTTTTTAAGATTCTCAGTGCAATATATCAATAATACCATCTACTGCTTAACTCTGATCATAAAAAAGATATTCACACTGATCTTGTTGAATTCAACTCTTTTTATACAACACAACGATTTCCACTTCACACACCAATCCAGTACACAAGATATTCCACGATTCCAGTCCAATCCTGATATTAAAATCGAGGTGAATTAAACTGATATTAGCTCGTGTAATGTTGAATTAATCGCAATCGCCTCTTACTCGCGAATATACGGTAAACAAAAACTAACCAATGAATGAACGATATAAAAAGCAAACGAATCGCTAAGTTACCGTAATCCCTACAAAGCCCCCTAAATCGCGCAGTCTTAATTCTTCAGTCTCCTACCATCACTAATAACAAAATCAAACCAATTTTATTTGTCTACCTTCGATCAGCATCTATATCAATCAACCCTTACAAGATAAACTAATAAACGCCTTCAAAATATATCTCAATAATCGATGACATTCAGCGATTTCTTGTTGCATTCAGTGCAATCACATTCACATCAGTCAGTTAAAATTTACATTTATTTCCGCAAAACCGTTATGCCGTATGAAAATATCATTTCCAGTAGTAATAATAATAATAATGCATACACATTTGGCTTATTCAAAGGTAGCATACTTCTAATAATAATAATA